CTTTTCGGAAGAAAAGTGCAGATACCGGTTCTGCTAGTCAGTATAAATGCGTACCGAAAAAGTATCTCGGAAAATTAAAATAAGTGCATGAATATTCTTAGAATATTATGTAGGACTGGTAAAATAAGTTTCAAGTCAAAATAATGAGAATTGGGTGCCAGAACTAATACTGGCTATGGAAAAGCGTGTACCGAAAAGGTACTCCGAAAAATAAAATAAAAATATGATAATTATTGTAAAATTGAGTAGGTTAAGAATCCTGAGTTTGGGAGTAAAATACTAAGTGTAGCAATTAATTTTATATCTGTGTGTTTAATGTTTAAGTAGGCCTATATAAGCTTTTGGCACAATGCCCTAGGTCAGAATTACATTTGTGCTACGTGATTTTTCTGGTTCCTTTCAGCTGCCACCTTCCATTCTCCACTCTATAGCTTCTCCTTCACTTATTTCACCAAAGTGATCACCTTTGGTCATGGTTCCTTCACCAAAATGGTTGAATATTGTGAGGACAAGCCTTGTGTGAGTTAAAGATCCTAATTTGCTGAGTTTAACTTCTGGTTTTGGGTGTTAGTGGGCTGAGTTGGTGAGTGTTCTTTGGGAAAGCCATGGTTATGACATTTGGTGCTTAAAAGAGCCATCTTTGAAGAGAAGGTCCAACCTTGTGTTGTATTTTCGTGCTCTTGCAAAGTCAGAATCTTTGAGCCTTGTTGGAGAGCTCCAAGAGCCTTCTTTTTGGTGAGTTTGAACCTCCATTGGTATACCTTGAACTTTCCTTTGAATTTCCTTGATAATGGCTTGTTTTTTGTTATGAAATGAGTTAACTTTAATCATTCAAGCTTAAGGTTGTTAATCTAAGTCTAAAATGTGGTATTGAACTTCTGTTTTGGGTCAAAATCGGACCTTGGGTCATGGCGTGGCAATTTGGCTTCGAATTATGCAGAAAAAATCTGCATAATGCTGTTCTGCCCGCGTGGTAATCAATTACTTTTGATTGGTAATCGGTTACCATGTGTGGTAATCGATTACCTTGCTGGTGGTAATCGATTACCATGTGCAGTAATCGATTACCAGCCCTTGGTAATCGATTACCACCTGTGAAATGACCAGAAATCAGTTTGTTGTGCGTGGGACAGTTCCCATGTGGGCTTGATGGCCTAGGAAGTTGGTGTTACTGTTGGGAAACAGTGATACCTATAATTAAGGGACTCAGTGCTTGATAATTATGATCTAGAAAAGACGTAATCGAATAAGGAAATGTTGTCATAATGAAATGAACCTTTAAAGTATGGTTATTGATGATATTTCTCATATAAACAGATTGTGATTGTGCTGTTTGTGGGTCTTGAGCTTGTACGGATTCTTGGCTTGGATAGTTAGCTTGCAAGGTAAGCTTTTGTGTCCTCGATTTAGCCATGTTGTGGTTCCACCATGTTCCATGGGGGTATGGTTATATGCATGTTGTGTTACATGCTTTTGATGTTTTGGAAATGCTATTGAGCTGTTATATGCTAGTGCCTTGTTGATATGCATGTGGTGTTCCACCTATACGGTAAGCCTGAGTATGTGGTACATACAATATAGTGAGGCTGCGGGTGAGGTGCAAGCGGAGTTCCTTGTACTATATGTAGGTAATAGACGTATTCCTGCATTTCTCTGGCCAATAGAATAGTTAAACACACATGGCATGAATATATGTTGCACTGCATTGAGTTTTGGAACTTATATTGAATTACTGCTTTTGGAACTTATAGTGAACATGTAAGTCAGCTTGGGGTGGAAGATCCTTGAGGACCCCTTGTCTTACTGAGATTTCTGGTTTAGAGATCTCACCCCACGTTTGGGGAATGCTTATTTCAGGTTCAGGTAATGTGGGGGTTGAGACCTCTAGTGGCAGGAGGCCAGAGCTTAGCTGATAGATGTTACATGTTTATGCTGCTTATGCTGATATGCTGTTATGTTTGGATGCTGGATCCTCTTTATTGTCTTATGCTTTTAGCTTCAGTTTATGGATTTCTCTGTTGAGAATCTGTTGGTTATATTGTTGATTTGGTGAGCATGGGGATTGTCCATGCCGCATAGACTTGTTTATGTCTTGTTTTATGTTGGAGTTGTAATAATGTATCAGGATTATTGTCCGGACTACGTGTAGTAGATCCGTGACATAGATACTCACTTTATTAATTTTACGAGGTATTTCAGTTAGATGTCTATTTGCAATTTACATACAGGCAATATTTTATGAAAATGATTAAGTAATCAACTTGGCTAAGTATAATGACGTCATAATTGAAAAGAAAAAGATATTCCGCATTTTTAATTAAGCAAAGCTTAATACGATGTAATGTTAAAAAATCGGGTATACACGGGGTGTTACATTTTATGGTATCAGAGCAATGGTTCTAGGGAAAAGCCTGTATGTATTGCATAACTTAAGATGTTTGGTTGTGTTTGTCTTGTGTGTTTACTCCATTAAGTTTTATTATGATGATGCATATGTGATCACATTGCGTGGGCCTGATCAACTCATAATTTGTGTAACTTGTGCAGAGTCATTATAGTATCCAGGAGAACACGTGAGACTGCTGAGGGTCAACCCGACCCAATCCTTACTGCATTGGCTAAGATGCAAGAGGCCACTAGATTGGCCAACGTGGCAATGATGGACGCTGTTAGAGAAGCGAACCAGAAGGCCACGGGGGATGCTCTTGAGGCGAACAGGTTGGCAAACATGACTATGATGAGGGTCATGTTGGAGGAGATGAGAGCGAGTCCTGCTGTTGGTCAGTTCCCACCGCCACCACCTCCACCGCCACCACCACCGCCGCCTCCACCTAGTGTTCAGGATGAGACCCTGAGTCACGTTGGTAGTGCTACTCACTTTATCTATTTTACGAGGTTTTTATGTCTATTTGCAATTTACATACAGGCGATATTTTATGAAAATGATTAAGTAATCAACTTGGCTAAGTATAATGACGTCATAATTGAAAAGAAAAAGATATTCCGCATTTTTAATTAAGCAAAGCTTAATACGATGTAATGTTAACAAACCGGGTATACACGTGGTGTTACAATCCCAGCTCCACTTCCTTTACTGTTGGAGGATCCATCCACGTAGACCTTCCATGCGCCCCCGGACTCCTCATGTTCCGGGTTTAATGGAGTCAGCTCCATTACGAAGTCGACCAAAGCTTGCGACTTGATGGCTTTCCGACTTTCATATGCTATTTCATACTCACTAAGCTCAATCACCCCAATTGGTCATTCTTCCTGCCAAGTCCGACTTGTGCAAGACCTGTCGTATGGGCTGATTAGTCCTGACTATTATTTGGTGTCCTTGAAAATATGGCCGCAATCTTCTGGCCGCGATCAGCAACGCGAAAGCCACTTTTTCTAGTTTTTGATACCTGACTTCCGCACCTTGTACGGCTCTGCTTATGAAGTAAATCGGTTCTTGGCCTTCACTAGTTTCTTTGATCAGCACAACACTTATTGCTTCCTCCCCCACAACCAAATACAGGATTAGAATGTCTCCTGGATTTGGCTTTGAGAGCACTGGGGGAGTTGCTAAGCATTTCTTTACTTTCTCAAACGCGGCTTGGCACGCTGGGTTCCATCCTTCAATTGCCTGCTTCTTTAATAGTTTAAAGAAAGGAAGGGAATTTTCAGCAGACTTTGGCAGAAACTGGGTTAGGGCAGCTAATCGACCGGTTAACTGCTGAATTTCCTTTTTGTTTTCGGGTAATTTCATATCCAGTACTGCCTTGCATTTGTCAGGGTTCGCTTCAATTCCTTTATGGGTTAGCATGAAACCCAAAAATTTCCCAGCCGGTACCCCAAACGCACATTTTATTGGGTTGAGACAGATGCGGTACTTCCTGAGCTTTTGAAATGTCTGCTCTAGATCCTGGACATGCTTCGTCAAATCAAACGACTATACGATCATATCGTCAATGTATACTTCTACATTCTTGCCCAGCTGATCTTCAAAGGCTTTATTCATTATCCTCTGATAGGTTGCCCCTGAATTTTTAAGCCCAAATGGCATCACATTGTAGCAATAATTTTCCTTTTCAGCAATAAAGGCGGTCTTTTCTTGACCCGCCGGGTACATTGGGATCTGGTTGTATCCTGAATAGGCATCCATGAAGGATAGCAGACGAAACCCAGCCGAGTTATCTACTAGCTGGTCTATGTTATGCATAGGATAAGAATCCTTTGGGCAAACCTTATTCAAGTCTGTGTAATCAGTGCAGATTCTCCATTTCCCATTCAGTTTTTTCACTATCACCACATTTGCAAGCCATGTCGTGTACTATATCTCCCGAATGAATCCGGCATCCAAAAGCTCCTTGATGTGTTCTTGCAGAACTTGCTTCCTTTATGGCCCCAACTTTCTTTTCTTCTGGGACACGGGCGTGGATCCCGGATAAACTGACAACTTGTGGCAGCAGAAAGCGGGGTCGATGCCTGTGATCGCAGACGAATTCCAGACAAACACATTTGTGTTGCTTTTGAGGAAGTCAACCAATACTTGTTTAATTTGAGGATCAATAGTCTTATCAATTCGGGTAAATTGACCAGGCTCTTTCCCCAGTGTGAGATCTTCTAGCTCTCCATCAGGTTCGGGTCTCGGCATTATTTCTTCTCTCATGTCGAGTTCAACCATGTTGACCGGCTTCTTAGAGTGTTGAAGAGTTACATTCTTACCGATTTTATCCCCTGGGTGAATTCGGGGTGGGCTCGAACGTCCCCCTTCATTTTCTTTGACCGTATCAAAGTAGCAACCCCTAGATTCCTTCTGATCTCCACAAACAATGATTATTTCATTCTTATTGCTCACCATTTTTATCTTCTGGTGTTTTGTAGAGACCAGCATGTCCCACTGATGTATGGTCGGTCTTCCCAGAATTATATTATATTCTAATGGGAAATCGGCCACTATGAACCTAACCCGTTCAGATCTGAACGCTTCCTTTGTTCCCAAGGTTAATCTGAGATCAATGTAGCCTTTTAGGAGGTGTATGCTCTCCTTTAAAGGCTACCAGCGTCGTTTTGCAAGGTTTGAGGTCTTCCTCATCCAGGTTCATCTTTTTGAAAACGTCCCAGAGTATGATGTTGGCACAGCTCCCAGCATCCACAAAAATCTTCCGAACCCGACAATTTACTAGGGTCCCAGCAATGACCAGTCCATAAACATGACCCGATAATACGCCGTGCATATCCTCTTTGGTAAAGTACAAAAGAAGAGGGTCTAGCTTGGTTGGGTCTTCTTTGAACTTGGGACGATCTCGAATAGAGAGTACCTCTTTCAGGTATTTTCTTCTAGCATTTACAATATCTCCCCCCCCCCCCAGGGCTCCACTAATTACATTACAATCAAACTCCACTTCTGGGAATTCGTCATAGTTGGGATCACTTTTCTGATTCCTATCATGTTTGTTCTTCTTTTAAGGAACGGGGCTTTGGCTCCGATTTCTGTTTCCCAACTTCCTTTTGTTGTTTCTGGAACATTAGGTTTTTATCACGTATTGACATAACCTTCCATCTCGAACAAATTTCTCCACCGCATCTCGGAGGTCCCAGCATTGATCAGTAGTATGTCCCGGTCCGTTATGGAATGCACAGTACTTCGATTTGTCCAAACCTCCTCTGCCGAATATGGGCAGGGGTCGTTCCACCTTCTTCGTTTCCGTCATTGCCACTTTTCTCCAGAGTTAAGAGCGTGAAGCGTTCAACGGCGTATACATGTTGAACCTTCCAACTCAATCTCTGGTATCTGGGATTCTAGCCTTAGGATCTTTTTTCTTATTGTCAACTCGTTCTTTTCCCTTCAAGACCAGACTTCTCCTTCGCGGGCTATTTCTCTTACCCTTTTGGGTTGTGCATTTGCAATCTCCATCTGTTCGAGTTCAAGGTATTTCTTCGAACGGGTTCTGAACTCCTCCAATGTCTTCCCTGGGTCTTTATAGTCTGACTTGGCCAACCTGGATGCACCGTCCAAGCCGGACACAATGAGATGCACGTGGACATTTTCTTGCAATCCCGGTACCTACAACGCGGCATCCTTGAATCGATTGAGATATCCTTGGAGGGTTTCTCCAGGTTGTTGGCGTATATTCCCAAGTGAGAACTCGAACTTCGGATGTTTCTTGCTTGTCGCAAAGTTTAAGAGGAACTTCTCTCTGAAATCCTCAAAAGACCATATGGAGTTGGCAGGTAAGGTAGATAACCATGCCTGCGCAGCCCCAGTCAGGGTTATGGCAAATATCCAAGATATGAGAGGCTCGTCTATGCCTCGTATGTACATGTCCGTATCAAAAGCGTCAATGTGGACCTGTGGGTCCTGACTCCTATCATACTTCGGCAGTCGTGCCGAATCAAAATCCTCGGGGAAAGGTGCGTTCAAAATCTTCCCAATAAAGGGGCTGTTGTTATACTTCCCCCTGCTATATTTCCTTCTGTATCCACCGGGTTCCACTCGTCCTTGGATGTTTTGAGCATTCTGGTCAGGATGAGTCCTAACCCGGTCTTCCTGGCCGTTAGCTTGTGCCTGACGGTTTTGAGCATTTTGGCCATCAGTAGCCTGGTTCGGGTTTCCTGCGTTCACGGGGTTGGGCCTTTTATGACTTTCTACATGGGGAACCCGGTTAGGTAGAACTAGGTTCCAAGCTCCTTCCCAGCCATTGGCAGGTTGGCCTCCAACTTCTGTTGCTCCTGGTCCAGTCAGCTGTGTTAAGCGCTGCTCCAGGTCTCGCATTCTCCTGTTATTTTCATCCCGTATTGCCCGAAAATCCTGCCGCCATTGCAGGTTACTACGAGTTTCCAATTCTACGATTCGTTCCATGATCGCAGCGAATGCATTATTAGCCAATCGAGTATCCGGATCGGCCGATTGAGCGATACGCGTAGCAAGATCCCCTGGATGCTGGGAAGGATTATTTCTTATTGGAGCCATGTTCGCCGCTGCCCCCTATCTCGACGTGCTGGAGTAGACGCGGTGCCTGAGATGTCGTCCTCGACCTGGACATGGTCATAATCCACGTTGTTTCCAATCTGGTTCTGAGGTTGATTTACCTCCTCCAGGACTGGATCCAGCGGTTGTTCTGATTTTGGGGTAGTTGTTGGCTACTGCTCCTTGTCTGTATTGCCATCATTTGTCAGATTGATGGGAACTTCAAACTCTAAGACGAAGTTCCCCACAGACGGCGCCAATGTTCTGTCCTTAAGACAGAGATGTCCAGCCCAGTAGGCTGGTACGTTGATCTTGGATCTAGTGCCCTCTCCAAGGTATCTATGAATGAGATATCCTTGAGTCAAGCAGATCACTGTGCACAGAATATTGTAACGGCGTTAGCCAATAGGGTGTGTGTGTGCGCACAGTGACAATATAACAGTAAGAGAGAGAGTGTAACGTACCTTTAGGGTTTACCTTGTATTTATAGAGGTTACCTGTTGGTAGTGTGGATGAGCCTTTGGTACCTCTGATGAGGGCCTAGGCCTGTTTGCTATGCTATCGTATTAGGATTAGTATCCTTGATGGATATCTATCCTTTGTTAATATCAATCTGTATCTTAGATTGCCTCTGGTTGGGCTTACCACTTAATGGGCCCATTATATGGGTCCATAACAGACATGTACAAAAATTATAATAATCTAATCAAAAATGAAAAAATTAATACTTACCAAGAGGGCCATCTAATAAAAAATAAAAGTATTCTGCTTCAGAAACTTAGAAATGTGGCTTTTGTGAGTAATTTTGAATTCTTTATTTAGACATGTATTAGCCTTTTTATAACATTTTTATTTTTTGTATAAATGAAGAAAAATAATTGAACTTTTTTTAAAAAAAAACTGTTAAGAAAAGTTGGTATTGTTATTAATCCTAAGTTAATGAATAATATCTATTACTTTAACTTACTAAAGCCACTTTTAGGTTTTGACATTTTAATTCAATTTTGCCATTTTTTTTTAATTCAAGCCTAAATAGGCTACACTACCCTATGATGCACCGATACTGACACAGAACACGGGACACGACACGACACGCTGACACGTTAATTATAAAAAATGTCATATTTTGACACGTCGGGACACATTTTGATATTAAATAATACTTTTAAAATATATAACATAATTTATATTTAATACATATAACTGCCCACAATAAGTCATATAAACAATCAAATATTCAAATTTCATAACATAAATATAAACAAAATTAAATTTTCGTACCTTGTTAATTTTTCATGTCAAATTTCATAACAGAGAAATTTGATTTATAAATTATTTTTTTATGTTTTGTTAATAAAATAAAATAGGATACCAATAAATAAATAAAATTTAGACTTAAAAAAAAACGTGTCGGAACGTTGACCGCGTGTCGAAAAAGTTGACTGCATGTCGAAAAAGCGTGTCGGAACGTGTCGAAACGTTGACCGCGTGTCTCAAAATGTTGACCACGTGTCGAACGCGTGTCAGTGTCCGACATGCACAAATTTAAAAAAGTGAGTGTCTGTGCTTTGGAGACACTACCTATCACATTTGAGACATTATTCATAAAAGAGGAAATTCAATTGGATCACTAATTAATTTTATATCACGCAACAAAGAATAAATAATAAAGCAACAATAATTAAGGTTAAGTTGGTCATTACAAATGTTGTCAAAATTGAGTTTCTAGTAGAAACGAAAAGGGGTGGTAGAAACGTAAATCATAAAAACGACACAAAACATAAAGTTTATACTACTTAAGGCCAAGATACAAAATTATATATATATGCAGGTAAAAAAAACATAAATTATAGCTCAAAATTCAATTAATAACTTCATATTTTTTAAGATATAAGTCACATAACTGTATAAGACATAAATCTACAAATACAAGAAGAGTTTAACAACTCTTACAATCAAGTTCCAAAACGAAAAATGAGCAAAATATCAAAGACACACACTTATCATTACTATTGTTGCTGATTAGAAGGGTTTGGTGGTCGCATCACTGGCATCGTAAGGGGGAGAAGACGAGCGACGCCAAGAGTTGTTGTGGATGTGAGTTCACTGAAGAGTTTAATTTGAATTAGATAGCTAAAAAAATATAGTCAAATTCGTATTCTGATTTGAGAAAATGAGAAATAGGATTTTTTAAAAAAAATTAAAAAAAGATTAGGTTTAAATAAAAGCGTAAAAGCTTGCGTCTCTACTGTTTTTACCTGTGTTTTTATTAAGAACCATTTTTACTTTGACATGTTTTTACAATCTATTTTTAAGGTTTCTACGTTTCTATTTTTGTACACTAATTTTTGACAACAATGGTCATTGTAGTGCTATAAGATGTAACTTATAAGTTGACACTTGACAATGCAAAAAGGAAAAATTAATGTTAAAGATCATTAAGAAGAAATATTTGAAAAGGACTACATATAATTTTTTTTAGAGATAATAATAATTAGATTATACCTATTAAACAAAAACATAATTATAAAAAATTGTAAATGGCTATTACTTATTAATAAGTGATTATGTGTTTTTACTAAATGGTTCAAAATAATAAATAAATTATGAAAACATTCACGAATGATTATTATTTTTTGTTAAGTGATTTCACTTAATGACTTGCAAATAATGCTATATATCAAATTCAAGGAATTAAGAAAAAGCTCAAATGATTATTGCTTGTTATTGGATGACAATTATCTCTATTAATGGTTAAAAGCATCAAATTATTCTTTCACACCCATATAAAAATGAATGAGTCCTAATACAATAAGAAGAGACAAATAAAACTAATGAAATATAATGAGATCCACTTACCTAAGTATTGATAAAAACAGAAATATTGAACCCAATACTTCCTTGTTTCTACTAAACAACTAATAGCTATAAAATAAAATTATCAAGTTTTATATGCATAAAATTAAGAAGAAGTTTATAAATGATTATTGTTGATAATGAGTGCTCCTTTATTTTTGTTACAAATACTTTTTTAAGAAAAAAATACTTGATGTTATGATTTTTTTTATAAATATTTATTATTTCTTGGTGTACGATTGTTTATTCTCTTTGAGAAATTAATAATAATGCTAGATCTATCAAATCAATAAAAAAATTACAAAAAATTACTTATTAATAAATTATATGTATTTTTTCTGATAATTTGGTTAATAATAATAAAAAAGTCTCTTTTCTAGAAATACATATAATTATTTTTTTTTTTACAGTAACTGTTACTTATCAATAAATAATTTTTTACTTTCATTAAATAACTATTATTTTCATTTAATTTGTTATCTATTAAATAAAATATAATAATCCATCGCTTTTAGTAAACTTTGTGTAATGTTTGTTAATAATTTAATAGGGAGGTTATATTTATTATCATTAAATTTTAATCGTTAATTTTTGTCAATAATTATATTTTATTAGATCATACTTATTAATTAATTATTAATTTTCAATAAATTTTATTTATTAGATAATAAAAATTAACGATTAAAATTTGATGATAATAAATAATAAAAAAATGATAATAACTATAATCTATCTCATAATTTTAAATCTGTTTATAAAATATTCCTTTATTGTTTTGCGAAGGTGTCTCGTTTTTTTTATACATTAATTTTTGGGAAAAGTGTGTATAATTTTGAAGGATGTAAAATTGTGTCATTTTAAGAGAGAGAAAGAGATAGATAAAGGAGGAGAGAGAGTTGACAAAAAAAATAAAGTTGTGGGTCCCACCTCTTTATGAGAGTGAAAGGATGTAAGTTGTGTAATTTAAATGTATAGACACTTTTCCCTTAATTTTTTTCTTAAAAAAAAAAAGAACAATTTATCATTTATGTATTAAATTTCGATCAATATCTCCACTGTAGGGTTTCTCTCTCTCTCTTCCTCCTCTTTGTCTCTCTTCTGTTTCTCTTTGATCCAAATCGAACCCTTTTTTTTGTGTTTTGTTTTGTTTTTATTTTTTTATTTTCATGTACTTAATTCGTAGCATGGATCTTCTTCTTCTCCCCATTTTTCATTCGTTTTACCGTTTTAGCTGAAACACTATAAGAAAAAACAGTGTTTCAAGTTCCAACCTTTTTCACATTGGGTTCTGTTTTCTCTTTAAATCTTTGATCTTTTTCGTTTTTCTCTTTCTGGGTTTTCTTCTGCCTTAGTTTTTATGGTGGATATGGATGGGTTTGGAGCTGTGGGTGATGTTGGGGGAGTTCCTAACACAGAGGATCTTAGGAAATTGAGAGACGTTCCCACAGGTTTGCTTCATCTTCTGGGATTCAATTCTGTTTTTTTCTAACCTTTGTCTTTAATGGGTATTCGATTTTGTGTTCATTGATTCAGCTTGTTCATGTAGATCTGGTCTGTTTTTGTCAGTAATTTAATTTGATTTGTGTGAAAATTGGTGCATGATTAAGTGTGTAATTGTTAGTTCTGCATTTCAAGGTGTTTCTTTGGTTGTTATCTTCACTTCACAGAAGCTCAATGATCAACCATTTAAGTTTTAGGTGATAAGTTCTTGCATGGTTTGAAGATTAGCTGAACTAAAAGCTTCTCTGTTTGTGAATTTTTGTTGCCATCTTCTCCATTTTTTAGAGTAAAAGACTTGTTGTTGCACTTCCAATGATATTTGCATACTATTCAAAATTAAAATTATAATGCCATTTTTCTTGACTTTGCATATTGAAATAGCATTTTTTTTTGTCACTCGGAGCTTATCTAGTTTTTTTTTTTTTTTTTTTGGTTGCTCGATCACATAGGAATTCTCAGCTACGTGCAACACAGAAGCCTTTGCTTTTTATGTTAAATAGTTTTAAGAAATTGGTAGAAGTTCTTTGACTAAAATTATTTGTTATGCAGAAGGTGCAGTTTTTGATGCATCACAATATGCATTCTTCGGTAAAGATGTTGTCCAGGAAGTTGAGTTGGGAGGGTTAGAAGAGGATGACCATTTGCCTACTGTTGAATCTAACGAGGAGGAATTCTTTCTCAATAAAGAAGAGGTTAATTTTCAATCTTCTTATGACAATTTTTTCTTAATTTCAAATTTTCTTTTGCTAAAAGGTTCATGAAATGTGGACATGTTAAGCTTATGCTTTCAGTTTAGCAGAATCTCCCCAAAATATGATGCTAGAATTCGATATCAACTCACTACTACTTTCACTTTGCAGGCTGATGATGTAAGATCTCTTTCCGATATTGATGATCTTACTACTACTTTTTGGAAGGTAAGGTTGTTAAACTATTATTATCATGCTTTCTTTGAATGCTTGAGATTGTTATTAGATAAGTGACTGAGTAATTGGGATGAAGATAATTTCTTAATTTGCATGCATTCATTTAAAAATAGAAAATTATATCAACATGAACATTACCTTTATCCCAAACTAATTGGGGTAAGTGGTAGGTGAACCCAAATGAAAAGTATGGAAATATTGAGGGAAAAAGAAAATCAAAAAATAGGTTAAAAATAAAATAAAAAAGAAAAATATATAAATAAAAGTAGAAATAAAATTGGGAAAAAGAAAATCAAAAAATAGGTTAAAAATAAAATAAAAAATAAAAATATATAAATAACAGTAGAAATTAAAAAGTAGCAATAAACAATTAAAAAGAAAAAGAAAATTAAATAAAGTGAAAATAAACATAAATAAGAGAGAAAAATACGTTAGAGAAAAAGAAAAATAGAGAGGGAAAAAAAGGAGAGGTAAAGAAAGAAATAAAGGGAGATATAGGGGAGTAATTTATAAATATTTTAGACACAATATGCATTTATGTAATATGATTGATGTAATGCTTCAAATATATGAGTTGATACTTGAGTCGGAGAAAGACGAGAAAAGTGAATAGTCAACAGTAATTAATATTGCTGAACCTCTGGTTTTCTTGATAGTTCTGTTTGATTTGTTTTCTTTAAAATTTCCCAATGTTTCTATGAGGTGGATTTGAAAAAAGCAAGGGTTTTGGTCCAGATTTATTAACTATTGTTAGAATATATAGAAGACATCTTGTAATATTATGATTATATTTTAAAATCATTTAGAGTATCTTAGATGATCTCTTAGGTTTGACTTTCATATTTCCTTATATTTTATGATTTGTTTCTTTATTAGGAGTCTGCTATTAGTATAATTTGTATCATATCCTTCACAACAATATCTATACCTCAATTCCTATATTTTCAACATGGTATCAGACTGGTACCAGTACCATCCTCCATGACTTTTCCTGTTACCTAGAATGCACAGACACGCCTTTTCAAAAAAAATTTGTGTGTCGGACACCGACACGCGGTCAATATTTTGGGACACGCAGTCAACGCTCGGACATTTTTTTTTTAAGGTCTAAATTTTATTTTATTAACTAAAAATGAAAAATTAATTTATATGTCAATTTTTTTTGTTATGGAATTTGACATAAAAAATTAACAAGGTACGAAAATTTACTTTTGCTTTATATTTATGTTATGGAATTTGAATATTTGATTGGTTATATGACTTATTATGGACTGTTTTATGTATTAATTATAAATTATATTATATATATTAAAAATATTATTTAATATCAAAACGTGTCCTAACGTGTCGAAATATGACATTTTTTAGAATTAACGTGTCGGCGTGTCGTATCATGTTGTGTTTCGTTTCCCGTTTCGGTGCATCATAGCCTGTTACTGTTACCTGCCTTCCTTAAAATAGAGCTCTACTTTAATTTCATGACCATGTTGCCTCGTTGGTTTTTGATATCTACTAGCATGTTCTCTTTCCGGCTACTAGCACAGTCTTCTTAGGCCATGGCACCACCGTCTGCCGCTGTCCAGATCCTAGAAATCTGCTTTATTTGCGCATTGTCAACTTTTTAAGCCACCGCTACCGCGTCATCGTTCCGGCAGCTAGCCGTTCCAGTACGAATATAACCTACATGTCCAATTGAACTATGAGCTAGAGGTCTTTTGACTTTCGTTTGGGCCATGGCGGCCAGTGCTCCGTGCATTTTTCGGCCGGCCACCCAAGGATTTGACTCATCTCTCTTTGACACAACCCTAATGGAAGCTGATGATGCCATTTGGACATATGATGTGAGAGAAACATTTCTAACATCATGCATATTCTGTTAGCTAGAGTCAACTTCTGGTGGTGCTATTGTGTTTGGCTATGTTGTGCGCTTGATGGTTGCCGTCTCTGTGTGGTAGGAAAGAAGGGTTGCAGACAGTGTCCCTTCTTTTTTGGGTACGTAATAGAAGGTAGGGTACGCAATAAGAACAAAGGGTCATAGCATGAAGGAAGGGTCGTATTGTCGTAGCAAGAAGGAAGGGAAACAGAAAGGAGGATTAGGCTTAGAAAAAAATCAAAGTGGGTAAAATACCCTAACCCAACATAAAATAGAAACAATCCAACCCAACGAATCAACCTGTCTCGCACCACTCACCCGACCCGTTGTAACCCATTTTTATGCTGGGTGGGTTGAGTAGGGTTGGTGGGCTATGTTTAGTGACCGAACCTGTCAAATTTGAGGGGTTGAATAGGTTGACTCAACGGTTGCCACCTCTAATAAATTTCAATTTTCATTTTGGGTCTCCTATGTTTTCTTGTGGTTTGTAGCTTCCAAATGTTGTGCTTGATGAACTTGTAGAAGTTTTAATTTTTGATGTGTTGTCATTTCAGTAATGCTCATCTCATAGATAACTCCCAACATTCGTGAGTTGTCTCTCCAGCCATGTTTTGTGGAGTCCATATTATATTATTTGGTTATTCTTTCTTTTTAAAAGATTCATTGGTAGCAAGCTAAAATCTTAGTAAGCTCTATGTTACGATCCCTAATAACAGTAAGGTGTTGAGTCAGTATGTAGGTAGTTATGGGAATAATAGCATGTGGTTAGCTATGGGAATAATATTCTCTCTTTCTGTTATGGGTGTGTTTTGTGAGTTAAGGCTGAAGTTGTTATATAGAGGGTAGGGAATGGTTGCAGAGGCATATAGGATATCTTGGGACTTGGGAATTGGGAGAGTCCTCGGGCTCTATAATTCTCCTGGGTTTATCTTTTCTTTTCTGCACTTTTGTTGTTTTTCTCTGTAATCTGCCATTGTTGTATGCTTGGCCGTAACCTTCCATTTCTCTATCAATATTATACCTGTAGTTTCCTTTCTTTACTATTTCTTCCCATTTTTGTTATTTGGATTCTATCACTCTAGCTTGAAGGGGGTGTTAGAATATCTAAAAGATATCTTAAAATATAATGGTTATATACTTATATTTTAAATTAGTTTAGAGTATTTTATATGTTCTCATAGGATTGATTACTATATTTCCTTATATTTCATGATTTGTTTCTTTACTTCTGGAGTCTGCTATGTGACTCATGAAGCTGTTTTCGTAGAAAAAAACTCTATGTTTCCTTTTGATTCATGTAATGATGTTATGATGTGGCATCGTAGGCTAGGCCATCCAAATTTTATTTATCTTCAGAAGTTGTTGCCAAACTTATTTATTCAGAGAAGTCCAAGTTTGTTTTCTTGTGATATTTGTCAACTTGCCAAGCATACTCGTGCTCATTATCCTTCTAAAGTTCACCATGACTCTTCCCCATTTTCCTTAATTCATAGTGACATATGGGGTCCAGCCCGTGTTAAAAATATTTCAGGTACTCGATGGTTCATTACCTTCATTGATGACCATTCTCGAGTCTGTTGGGTGTATCTTCTAAAGGATAAGTCCGATGCTGCATCCGTGTTTAAAAAATTTCATGCCATGGTTCAAACCCAATTCTAAGTTGCTATACAAATTCTTCGTACAGATAATGGCAAAGAGTATTTTAACTCTATTCTTGGAGAATATCTTTCCCAACATGGCATCCTTCACCAAAGCTCGTGTCCTGACACACCCCAACAAAACGGAGTTGCGGAAAGAAAAAACCGACATCTCCTTGAAGTTGCTCGGGCTCTTATGTTTACCACGAGTGTTCCTAAATATCTTTGGGGAGAGGCAGTTCTCACTGCCTCGTATCTGATAAATCGAATGCCATCTCGCATTCTGAAATTTCAGTCTCCTCTTTCTAGTCTTGTTCGTATCTTCCTTTCCTTCCGAGGTGTCTCCTCCTTACCTCTCAAGTTATTTGGTTGCGTTGCATTTGTCCATATTCCCTCCCATCAACGGTCTAAGCTTGATCCTAAGTCTCTCCAGTGTGTCTTTATTGGTTATTCTCCTACTCAACGTGGCTATAAATGTTATTCACCCTCTCTTCGTAAGGTCTTTGTCTCTATGGATGTCACTTTTTCTGAAAATGACCCTTTTCTTCCCCTCGACTTCTCTTCAGGGGGAGATAGGAGTAGATGAAGATCAGCCATGGGAACCTACTGATGCCACGGTATTACCTCTAATTTTGGAAACAGGGGGAGCTACAGAATCCTCACCATCAGGAGCCTCCTCAAAATGGGGACAAGTTTATAGCAGGCGAAAGCCTCCTCAAAGTGTGAATAACCCAGAGCCTCTACACTGCCAGGATTCTGAACCATGTTCTAGTTCCAGCACCCCAATACTTGAGTGTCATGGTGAAAATGATCTACACTTGCCCATTGCTCTCAGAAAAGGTACTCGATCTTGTACTACTCATCCTATTTCTAATCATATTTCATATGGAAAGTTGTCCCCAGGGTTTCGTGCTTTCAATACTATGTTGGATAGTACAAAGATACCGAGAAATATACATGAGGCTCTCAATGATCAAAAATGGAGGGATGCTGTCTTTGAAGAAATGAATGCTTTAAAAAGAAATGGAACTTGGGAGATAGTGACCCTACCCAAAGGAAAACAGGCAGTAGGATGCAAATGGGTGTTTACAATAAAATTCAATGCAGATAATAGCATCAACAGATACAAGGCAAGATTGGTTGCAAAGGGTTTCACTCAGACTCATGGGATAGATTATCATGAGACTTTTGCTCCGGTTGCTAAAGTCAATACCATCCGAGTTCTCTTATCTCTTGCTGCCAATCTAGATTGGCCTCTGCAACAGTTAGATGTGAAGAATGCATTCCTAAATGGTGACTTACATGAAGAAGTCTATATGGATCCTCCACCTGGTTTTGAAAAGGGAAATGGATCAGTGTGTAAACTAAAAAAGTCTCTATATGGATTGAAACAGTCTCCCAGAGAATGGTTCGACAAATTCACACAAGCAGTCAAAAGAAGAGGCTTCATTCAAGCACAGACTGATCATACTCTCTTCCACAAACACTCTAAGGATGGTAAAATCGCTATTCTTATTGTATACGTAGATGATATAACTCTTACAGGTGATGATATTGAGGAATTGAACACCTTGAAGAAATTTCTAGCAGCTCAATTTGAACTCAAAGACCTTGGCACTCTCAAATATTTCCTTGGTATGGAAGTTGCTAGGAGCAAAACAGGCATCACTCTAACACAAAAAAAATATGTTCTAGATCTTTTGTTGGAAACAGGAATGTTAGGGTGTAAACCTGCTGAGACACCTGTGGAACCTAATACCAAGTTAGGTATTGAAGATGGGAATGAGGTGGATAAAGAACAATATCAGCGATTGGTTGGTAAACTAATCTACTTATCTCATACGCGTCCTGACATTGCCTTTGCGGTGAGTATGATTAGTCAATTCATGCACTCACCCAAGGAGAAGCATCTTAGTGCAGTCTATAGGGTGCTTAGATACCTCAAGAATACTCCAGGAAGAGGATTATTCTTTAAAAAGGGGTATAAAAGGACAATTGAAATCTACACTGATGCAGATTGGGCAGGCTCATCAGTAGACAGGAGATCTACATCAGGCTATTGCACCTATGTGTGGGGAAATCTTGTTACTTGGAGAAGCAAAAAGCAAACAGTGGTTGCAAGAAGTAGTGCTGAAGCAGAATTTCGAGCTTTATCTCATGGAGTTTGTGAAGGAATCTGGTTGAGAAGACTTCTTCAAGAGTTGAAGATTTCATATTCCCTACCAATAAAACTATATTGTGACAACAAGGCAGCTGTTAGCATTGCTCAAAATCCTGTGCATCATGATCGAACAAAGCACGTGGAAGTTGATCGTCACTTCATCAAAGAAAAATTAGATGATGGAAGTGTGCGTTTGATATATGTTCTAACCAAAGAGCAAATGGCAGATATCCTTACCAAGGGCCTACACCGTCCAGCATTCGAAGACTTGATTGGCAAGTTGGGAATGATCAATATTTACCTCCCAACTTGAGGGGGAGTGTAGAAAATCAGAATCCAAACATGTTTCCGTTTTTATTTCCTATTAATTAGGATTGATTATGATTGATTAGGATTGATTGTGATTGATTAGAATTGATTGTGATTAGGATTGATTAGTCATCGCTTAGTCATCGCTTTGTCATTCTTAGCGATTCTTTCTTGTATAAATACTTACTCATGTAAATTATTCAATATCAATATACAGAAACTTCTTTTCAATATCTATACCCAAATTCCTATGAAAACAAAAACTGTGAAAGAGAATCATGCTTTTAAGTTAGTTCATCCCTAGCTTGAGTGTATTTTTTCTTCTTGTTGCATTATGCTTCTAGATTACTTTCTTATGCTAAAAGTTGGTACATTTTGTAATTTGTGCTCTTCCACAAGCGTTCTTGAGATTAGCTTCTTCTTCTATTGTTAAATCCAAAATTTAAATATTGATGATACCTTGACTGGACAATAGACATTGATAGTATGTATAGAATTTAAGACCATTTTTGTGTGGTATATATATTTTACATAATCATGCTCATGCATGATGGAAGTGGGAAAGGGAATTACCTAGCTAGGTTATATTCTAGAAAACATTTTGGGAATGTACTAGGAAAAATCTCTGGAATTTACAATGAAGCAGAGAAAAAATTGGGAAAATTATTCAGGTGATGATAGGGGGAACTATCAATGAGATTAATATTCTGATTTTGTATTGGCTAGACAACATGGTAATTCCTGTTGTATGCTATTAAAATATAAAGTGGTTTGTACTTAATCTTGAGCTTGGCCTGACCTGAGCCAAAAAGTTCTTTGCGATGCAACAAGGATTTTTAATTAAGATTTGTGGAAAAAGTGGAGGGACTGGATGAACAATTAAGAAGAGTGAGGCCACAAAATTTACTAAATCTCAGCAGTGTTGAGAGACAACTCTTTGTAATTTTCATTGATCATGAATTTTCTTTATTGTGCCTGTGGATTTAGGCCTACAGTTTGCTGTCATGTCAAATATTGTTTCTAATTTATTTTCTAATCCCTATTTTCTGTTTCCTGGTTACAACATATGTTTTCTTGGCAAATGAAAACGAGATCATTATAAATTATTGGCAACTGTCTTTGATACGATTAGCATCAAGAGGGGAAGAGTATTCTTCAAGGAATATAGCATTAAGAGGGAAAGGATATTCTCAGAGACTATACTTAGTGTTTAGAAACTTAGTTGGGAGGTGTGTAGTTAGTAAGCTGGGTTGGTTTTGTCCTCTCTATTGGATATATGTTGGTATTTGACTGTTTTCTGAATATTGGCTGAGTTCTCTTAGTTTGAAGGGGAATGTGCCCCTTGGCAAGAGAAGCATTTCTTGTATATTCATTTGTTTTTCTCATCAATGAACAAATATTTTTCTTCCATTCCCCATTTTTCTTTCATTCTTCCTTTCTATTTTCAAAGTCTCAATCTCTTAAGAATCCAGAGCTGTATCAGTCTTCTAATGTTAAATCCATATCGCTTGTTATACCTATGAATAAATACCGCATGGATCATGCAACTTTAGAATCTTTGCAGAAACTTGGCAGGTTATCAAGTTTCCCTTCCCTGGTTTGTTTTCTTAGTCTGAGCAGGATGTACAAACAAAGCTTTCAAAATCATTCTTTCTGTTGAGGTATATAAAAACCATTAATGTAGCCTCATCCAACAGCTTAAGCTTTTGGGTTGAATTGGTTCTTTACATGGTATCAGAGCCTCGGTGTACCGGGTTCAATCCTCACCGCCCCCCACTTTCTTTCTAGTGGAATTTCTTTCTTCGCACAGGTAGGTAGGCCTGTGCATTGTCCACCCTTCAAGCCCAGTGGGCTCTCGTGTGAGGGGGCGTGTTAAGATATATAAAAACCATTAATGTAACCTCATCCAACAGCTTAAGCTTTTGGGTTGAATTGGTTCTTTACACTTTCTATTGAAGTTATGGCTTATCTGTGTTTCTCTTTGGACTTAGTATGAACCAAGGAAGTCGTCAATCATGTTGTTGGTAATCGAGAAATGTGGGAGAAAATTATGATATGCAACTATGTAGATTGGGATTCTAGACTTTTAGTTTCTGAAGTTCGTTGATAAAAGGTACTTTTTTTTGGTATAAGCCATCCGGTATCTGGTCGCTAATGGGGCGTCGACTAATCCAGATTCGAGCCGAGCAGGACCACGAGTGGCGGAACTCTCTCTACCAAGTTTTAACAAACTTTGACTAGCAATGGTAGGGGGTATTCATCAAAAGGTATATTTGATACTGCATTAGTGGAGCTTTTCAGTACACTACTAAAACTACTCACCCTTAAACCTTGACTAGCAATGGTGGGGATGAAGGAATCCTTGTATGCAGTCTTACCCTTACATATTTGCAAGGAGACTATTTCCTAAGTTTGAACTCGTGACCTTTTGATCACAAAGGACAAACATTACCACTGCTCTAGGCTTGTCCTCAGCTTGTCAATATACTACTATATTACCAATTTTCTCAGTGCAGAATGTTAGTTTTTCCTGTATCCATTTTACCCTTCGTGCAGCTTATTTCCTACAGTTTGTAAGTCCATTAATTTTGACAATGTAGCCATTATCTCATTCACAAAAGAAAAAGGAAAATAAAAGAAGAAAAATTAGAAGAGATAGTTAAATGAAATGTTAATCTGATTAGCTTGCTTCCTCTGGCATTTCAAATTTCTTTGGATGTTTTTGGCTTCAAGTAACAAGTTCTGTCTCAAACACAAAAGTTAGCTGTTTGATCTTTTCTTGATATGTGCTCCACTTGTGCTCGATTTTATGATTCAGTTTCTGTTATGATTTTGATCATACTGCTTGTCTTGTTATCTCCATGCATGGTCATTAGTTCTGCTTCATGCATATCGATATGAAGATTAAGCTTCTTTTTCATTCTAAAATTTAATTTCAGTTGAACAAGGTTGTCAGTGGACCAAGAAGCGCAGGTGTTATTGGTGAACGGGGATCAAGAGAAAGTGAGTAAAACAATTGTAAAGAATTCACCAATTTGCTTTTTCTTTTATCTAAACTATAAATAATGTCACTTTTTTTGCATTTATCTTTTTAATAGATATTTTTCCATTATACTCTGATGCCAACTTTTGCTTAATGATGTTTCTCTAAAGTGTACAACTATAAACTAGCTGTTTGGATATAATATTTGAAGGTTGGAACTGTTAATCTGGACTAGGCCTTTTTTATATGGAATAGTTATGTGGCAGGGAAGCGTGTGACATCATTTATATGTAACTATAAATTATTTGTTACCCTTTAGTTCTCCCCAGGGAAATAGTTATCCATGAGTTGTGGGAAAGCCGTGATTCAGTAAATCAAGTGTTTCTGTCTTAAATAATAATTGTGATTAATAAATTTCTTTTAATTATTTTATAGATTTTTATTACATTTTTCATCATCATTTGCTGCGTAAAATGTTGGTGCTTGTAAGAAATCTTATCTATCTTTTTTTGTAAGAATTGCATTGTCAATGCTACTGTTCTTGTGGTTATATGTTGCTTCTAATGAGTGATTTAGTTTGGCATACACAAACATGCAAACACACACACAATTTATATTAATTTTCAACTAGGCGAGTATAGCACCTTAAGTTACCGGACAATGAGGGTGTGGCTTATAAGCAAGAACCTAACTTGCATATGCATTTAGATATATAAAACTGTGCACACAAGCTGATACGAATGTAAAGATTGGGGAGCCAAGGATATCCAACAGTCAGAACACTATTTGGAGAATTTATAGCAGACGAAATAAATGCAATTAGGGGGTGGAGAATAGTCCGAAGTTACATTGAGTGAATAAAAAAAATGTTAAATAAGTGGGAGGCATTGAGTGCGTCAATTTCAAAAATGAGGGATTTTTTCTAATAATAAATATGATGATTCAAAGAGAGGAGAGGGGATCTTGAGCAATTATCTTGTAAACTGTGAGTAGGCACAGTAAAATGGTGTATCTCTTGGTAGAGAAATCCTTGAGTAGGCACACTGAAAGGGTGTTTTCCTTGGTAGGGAAATCTTTCTCTAATTTTCTGTTCTAATTCTTTGAATAAAAAGAGCATTCCTCCGTTTATTTCTTCTGCCATAAATTCTCCAAATAGTGGCCTGACTGTTGGATATCCTTGGCTTCACAACCGTTACAGTTGTATCAATATTGCCCTCCTGTGAAACAACCATGTCCTCAAGCTTGAAAGCTGGAAATTGTCCCAACATCGAAGGAACATCCTCCCAAGAAGCTTCCCCAGTAGAGGCTCCTAGCTTCAGGACAAGACTTGTCACTGGAAGATTCCCAACGCCTTGTCCTGAAGCAAGGATCCTCTAATGGGGAAGCTTCTTGGGAAGATGTTCCTACGATGCTGGGACAATTTCCAGCTTTCAACCTTGAGGTCAAGGTTGTTTCATAAGAGGGCGGGATTGATACAAATGTAGCGGTTGGGGAGCCAAGGATATCCAACAGTCAGGCCACTATTTGCAGAATTTATAACAGTAGAAATAAATGCAATTTGGGGGAGGAGAATATTCCGAAGTTATGTTGAGTGAATTAAGGAAATGTTAAATAAGGGGGAGGCATTGAGTGCGTCAATTTTAAAAATGAAGGATTGTTTCCAATAATAAGTAGGATGATTTAAAGAGAGGAGATGGGATCTTGAGCAATTATCTTGTAAACTGTGAGTAGGCACTATGAAAGGGTGTATCCCTTGGTATAGAAATCCTTCTCTAATTTTCTGTTCTAATTCTTTGAATAAAAAGAGTGTATCACAAGCATAGTCTAGGAACCTGTAATAACTTGCATACACTCATCTGTGCTAATGGAAAAGGGGGATGGGGTTTCTACTATGACTTTATCTATAACTTGATGGTTTTTAAGTAGAAAACTTCCTTTGACTAAGAAACGGGGTCTGACAAAGTGATGGTAACTTGAATGTGTTGAAACTTTACTGTGTTTCTGATGGGCTATTAGCATTTGTTACAAACGGAAGAAGTGGAGAAAGAAAGGGGGATGGGGACGTCTGAGAATTGAGTAGCTAATGGTAGTGGAGGGCTATGTAGCACCGATACCGATACGGGACACATGACACGATACGACATGACACTCCGACACGTTAATTCTAAAAAATATTAGATTTTGACACGTTAGGACACGTTTTGATATTAAATAATATTTTTAATTTATGTAGTGTATATTATATTTAATATTCAATATTTTAACAAAAAAATGAAACTAAACTTAAAATATTCATCAATTTTGCAAAGAAACATAAGATATCCCAAATATTTATATTAAATGGTAATCGTAATTCAACAAATCTAATAGTTGGAACTAAAAACTCAACGCAACGCAACCTTTGAACTTTTTTTGAATTTCTATAACGCGTGTTGGAGTGTCGGAGAGTATCGGGAAGTGTCGGACACGACACGTTAGGATTTTTGAAGTGTCGGTGCTTCATAGGTGGAGGGAACTCAATGAGAAAGGGGTGTTTGTCTCGTGGAGGGAGCTGGGTACTACTAGTGTCATCACTGTGTATTGTCTCTGTTAGTGTAATTGAGGAGTGTTTACATCGAGTCTGTATAGTTGTAACTTGGAGTTCACTGTAAATAGCTTTGGGTATTGCTTATAGCAGTTATTGTCTTTGATTTGGGTCTGTAAGGGCTTGTCCCAGTTTCATTTGCAGTAAAATTGATATCAGTTCTTTTCGGGTACCATCAATTTCCTTGTGTCATGTAGTTATCACACTAATGGTTGAGGTAACCCATGTGGTTGTATGTTATGTATGATATTTTATCAGAGGAATTGCCTCTAATATCGTGATTTTTCAGAAGGTCTAGTGTTGTTTGTGTGTAAAATCCACTTCAGAAAGTAGATGCTTTAAGAGAAGGTTGTGTGTGTCTTAAGTTCAAAAAGTGACTATATAATCCTGGGTTTTTAGCAGCTGTATTCCTGCCTTTTCAGTGTATGCAATCTTTTTTCAGTTGACTAATTTATTTATATTTTTATATTCTATCCAGGCTCTACTTCTGAATGGGCACAAAGGGATGATGCTGTTAACTGGTTTGAACAGAATGCTTATGATAGTGAAGGTTCAATGGATGGCAAAAGATGGTCGTCACATCCCCATTCTTCTCTAGCCCATTTACACAATTCGAAGTCCTTGTACAGAGCCTCTTCATATCCTGAGCAGCAAATGCAGGAGCAACACCAACACCACCTTCAGCATCGGTCTAGTGAACCAGTTCCTAACTGGCTTCTTGATCAGCATTTTTATGATACAGAAACTGATCATGATGGCAAACGATGGTCATCACAGCCACATTCCTCCATTGCTCACTTACAAGAATCAAAGCCCTTGTACCGAACATCTTCATATCCTGACAAACCACAGGAGCTTCCTCGTTTTTCTAGTGAACCAATTTTAGTACCAAAGTCTTCATTTACTTCTTATCCTCCCCCAGGTGGTTTATCTCTGCAGGCTTCTCCAAGTCATAGTACAGGCCACTTAAATATTCCTTATCATGCTGGAGCAGCTCAGATGGCACTATCATCTCAAGATCGTTCTCATTTCTCCAATTCTGCACTACAGTTGAGTGGATTAAACCTTAGGTCACACTTTGGTGGAAACATGCGTCAAGTTCCTACCGGTTCCACTCTTAATCAGCGAATACAGAATCAATTGGTCAACCAAACAGGGTTATATCCTGGAGATCATTCGAACCTCCTCAATAATATGTTGCAGCAACAGTTACACCTTCAATTGCAACAGCAGCAGCATAGACTGCATCATCCTGTTCAGCAATCTTCAGGCTACTTATCAGGTTTCCAGTCCCATTTATTTAATCCCCACTTCCCTTCTGGCTCAGCTGCAATTAGAAAATATGAACATATGCTTAGTCTGGCTGATGCTAGAGATCACAGACCGAAATCAACTCAGAAAGGTAAACATAGTCTTCGTTTCTCCCAACAGGGTTCTGATGCCAGTAGCCAGAAGAGTGATAGTGGTTCATTACAGTTTCGATCCAAGTATATGACAAGTGATGAAATTGAGAGTATTCTTAGAATGCAGCTTGCTGTGACTCATAGTAACGACCCATATGTAGATGACTATTATCACCAAGCTTGTCTTGCGAAAAAACCTTCTGTGGCTAAGTTGAAACATCCATTTTGCCCAACCCAAATAAGGGAACTTCCACCACGAGCCCGTGCTAACACGGAGCCACATGCTTTTCTTCACGTGGATGCCCTAGGGAGGGTTTCATTCTCGTCTATTCGGAGGCCTCGCCCTCTTCTTGAGGTTGATCCTCCAAACTCTTCTGGTACCGGTAGCTCTGAGCAAAATATTTCAGAGAAGCCCCTTGAACAGGAGGCTATGTTTGCTGCCAGGGTCACAATTGAGGATGGTCTTTGCCTTCTTCTTGATGTAGAAGATATTGATCGTTACCTACAGGTTAATCAGCTGCAAGATGGTGGAAGCCAATTAAGACGAAGAAGGCAGGTCCTGTTGGAAGGACTAGCAACTTCACTTCAACTTGTTGACCCACTGGGAAAGAATGGAAACAAAGTTGGGCTTGCTGCTAAGGATGACCTTGTTTTTTTACGGTTAGTATCTCTCCCTAAGGGACGTAAGCTCCTCACAAAATATCTTCAGTTGCTTCTTCCTGGCAGCGAGCTTCTGCGGATTGTCTGCATGGCTGTCTTTCGTCATTTAAGATTCTTATTTGGTGGTCTTCCCTCAGATTCAGCAGCTTCAGATACTACAAGTAACCTTGCTAAGGTTGTTTGCCAAAGTGTCCGAGGAATGGATCTCGGTGCTCTTAGTGCCTGTCTTGCAGCAGTTGTTTGTTCTGCAGAGCAGCCTCCTCTACGTCCCCTTGGAAGCACTGCTGGAGATGGTGCTTCCCTTATTTTAGTATCTGTTCTTGAGAGGGCTACTGAACTTCTAACTGATCCGCATGCTGCTTGTAACTTCAATGTCGGTAACCGTTCATTTTGGCAGGCCTCATTTGATGAATTCTTTGGCCTTGTCACTAAGTATTGCATGAATAAATACTCGAGCATCATGCAATCCTTGCTTATACAAAGTACACCGAATGTGGATGACATTGGACCAGATGCTGCTAAAGCTATTAGTAGGGAAATGCCTGTTGAACTCTTGCGCGCGAGTCTTCCTCATACCGATGACCGCCAGAGGAAGTTATTACTGGATTTTGCTCAGCGCTCTGTTCCTGCGGTTGGATTCAACAGTAATGCTGGGGGAAGTGGTGGTCATGTGAACTCAGAGACAGTGCTAAGTTGATGGATAGCGACATGAAAAATTTGCCTACTGATAATGGTTTTGGGGTTGAAGATCACATCAAATATGTTAAGGACAACCTTGCATATGCTCAAGTGCCTTTGGTATTATTCAAGTACATCTAGAGCAGCAATCTTACATGAAAGTGCTGAGTTACATCTATGATGGAGGCTTCTGGCTCATCCTTCATTGTCTACTTGTAATGATGCAGTAACAATGTATAGCATTGTTATAACTTTGCAATCAGGCCCTTTATGATGGACTCGGCTTGATCTGTTGTTCCTCTTGTCTTTTCTTTTTCTCTTGACAAGGGATCTTATTTTGTTACTATGTGTGGCTGGTAGCAACAAAGTAGCTGTTAGCATGTACAGGTTCTAGGTACATATTTGGTTCCCATGTTTCCTTATTGTTATATATAAAAAGTTGGGTGTGGGTTGTACTCACATAGTATCTAAGATTGAACCATTCTACTGGAAATGGTATGGGCAACTGGGGGTTTGCAAACTTAGCTGGGAAAAAGGTTGACATGTTGGTGGTATGCTGAAATTCAAAGGAACAATGTACTGAAGAATAAGTTATATAGAACTTGCTGCATAATTTTATCTTTTTCACTTGTTTTTTAGTTGTCAATTTGTATATATATATATATATATATATATATATATATATATATATATAGAGGTAGGATTCTTTGACACCGGTGTCAAATTTGAAATTTGACACCTCATCTGAGAGGCGTTAAATCAAAAAAGATCAATGGTGTCACATGCTTACAAATTAGAGTCGTTGATCTTTTTTGATCTAACGGCTCTCAGATGAGGTGTCAAAATTTAAATTTGACACCGGTGTCAAAGGATCCTATCTCATATATATATATATATATATATATATATATATATATATATATATATTACTCGACTAGTTCAATTTGAGCCGGATAGAATTATAGAGATGTCAAAGTTTTTTTAACAAGTTTTAAGATAGATGCACTTCTAGACTTGCACTGGTTAAATTGGAATACTTTTTTGTTAGTTGATCCAAATGTTTGATGATATTTTTAGTTTTTTCTACCGTTTCTCTTTGACTTTGGCTTGATTTTCTTTGGAAATTTGTTGAATTTTTTTTTTTTAAATTTTTAATTTCTTCACCCGTTGATCGAATATCAACATAATTTTTATCAAAGCCTTGTAATGCATGAAAGAGAGAGAGACGATGGTAATCCAATTTGGGGTATTTGAGCAGTGTATTTTCCCCCTTCCCTTTTATGGGGCAATCAGTTTTGAAAAAGTGAGTAACAATTAATGTTGGTAAACAGCTAACTCTTTACCAAAAAGAAAAAAAGAAAAGAAAAGGAGCTGAGTTAACTCGTGTTAATGAGTTTGGTTAACTTGCGATTCAGTTTTTTTGTTTTTATTATTAGTTTTCTCAAAATATTTTTCGAGCTGACAGTTAAAGACTAATTCTTTCGAGGTGTAGAAATCATCAAAGTGAGTTTTACCTTTATAAATAAAGTTTTTTTCATACTCGAATTTTTGTCAACATACTTAAAAAATCTAGCTATTTAGTAATTATGTCGGGCTTTGTTTGCGATTCAATTTGTTGAAGTTTGATTTGTTATTTTTAGCTTGTGAATAAAACATGGCGACAAGAACACCTGGCACTTCCACAACATTGCCAATTTTAGACGTAAGAAAATTAAAGTGGAACCTTTATTAAATGATTCTAGCGAGTGGGTCTTCAAAGCTGCATCCCTAAAAAATAGCATATTTTAAGTTCTACACAGTGCATATTAAGTATTCCTGTGGAATTCAAATAACATTAATCATTGGTGGATAGAATAAATAGTGTCGAATATGCTATTTTTTCTCATCTTTAAGAAGTGATGTATTGAATGTCCATATTATCACCAACGAAGATATTTTCCTAAAGTATGTGTTATGGATCCATATAATATTGTATAAAGTCTTAATAATGAGCAATAGAAAGAGGAAATAGCCTTAATAAAGGAAAGTATTAATCTAAAATATTAAGGGTGGGCATGAGAACCCTTCTGTTTTCTGATATTGTTTCTGAAAAGAAACAATTCTTTTATATTTTTGTACCTTGAAACAGTTTTTGAGAAAAAAATACATTTGATAACATGTTATGTTTTAAATCCGAGAATGAAAATTACGTTTGTTAACTCATTTTTTTTATTTCGAGAATCAGAATTATGTTTGATAACACAATACAAATCTATTTCTTTACTTTTTGTTTACATAATTTAACTAAAATGCCAACATTTCATTTTAAAAAAATTTATCAAAAAAATTATAATATTTTATTGCGTAATTTTTTTTACAACAAATGCTAAGATATAGTTTTAACCATTATTTTTCATCCTCTTCTCAATTCATTTTTTTTATTTCTCATTTTCTTGACCATTTCATTTTTTAATACCATATTATTACCTTAATATTAATGATACAAATGAATAAATAAATACATATTCATAAGTCACATTACTCAACTAAATTTTTATGATATCACAATAATTTAAAGCAAAAATAATTGATGTTACGTTGAACAAAAAATAGGATAAGTCTCCAATGTATTTTGAATGTCTCTTAATTCGTCAACATCATATTAAGGGCAAGTGATTGTCTCTGGCTAATTGGTTTGCAATATTTTTCTTAATAATGTCTACTTCGGTCACTTGATTTGTGAGGCCCTCATCATCTATAGTTGTAGATGTATGGGTTGATGCTGCAATGTTGGGATTCACATAATGTGCTAGATTTTTTTCTGCTATCTAATGATCCTTGATAAAGTTATGTACTGCACAACTTGCAATCACAATGAGAGCTTGCTTTTGAAATGAAAATGGAGGCATTGTACACAAAATTGGGAACCTATTCTTCAAATTTCCAAATGATCGTTCAATTACATTTCTCAAAGAAGAGTCCCTATGGTTGAACAACTCCTTAGTTGATCTGGGTTGATTTCGTCTTCCTCTATAGTCATTCAAATGGTAGCGCTCTCCTTTGATGGTGTCAAATAACCATCCCTAGTTGGGTATCTAGAATAAACGACATAAAATTTGCCTACATGTTGACAAGAATTTGCCAATATATAAATTGCAATAATAATAAGGACAATTAAAAGTGAAACTAAAGAAAAAATGTCATTCACATTTTTGTACAAACTCATCATACCTGGTGGGGGATGAGGGAATTCCAACCGAGGAGTTTCAAACGCAGTAGTAAAAATACGACCATCATTTATAGATCCTTCCCATTCGACATACACAAAAGTGAACTTCATGTCAAAGGAACATGCACACATGACATTGTGAGTTGTAATTTGTTTCCTGCCTTTAAATTGTATTTGCTTATTCTCAAGTAGCGTAGCACTTACATGAGTGCCATCTATTGCGCCAATACAATCATAATATTTAAAATGAAATATTAAAGTGAAAAATAATTAAATAAAATTCTGAAAATAAAAAGTGCTTAAATCCTTAAGAAAAACTTACCTTGAAGTATGGGAAAAGTGTTTAACACAATATATCCTGGTTCGGTCACCACCACTTGTGACCTACGTCCAGACTGAAGCCGCTCGATCAACTCTTTCACTAATGGTCAAGCTTCACGGGTGTTTGACAAACTTTTACAATCTTCCAAGATTTCGGGTTCTTGGAAGCCTTTCAATAGGTACTTGGTAACCTTACAATTCACTCCAAATTTACTTAGGTTTTTGGCTACCTCTCAAATAATGAATCTCACAACCCTTTCAACTCAAGAATACTAGAAGGGAAATATTAGGAAATGAATATACACTCTCAAAGTGTGGATATACAACTTGAAGCACTATGGGTATATGGATTTTCAAGATATGAGCTCAAATGTATTTGATCTTTGAAAGATATGAAAGAATATGCAAATGATAGTGTAGAAGCTCTCAAATCATCCTTAAGATGTGTAGGAACAGTGATCAATATGTTTTAGGGTCATAAGGAATGTATTTATAGTGTTTCCATTGAAAACTAGTCGTTTATAGTCGTTTATAGCCGTTTTATGCATTATGCTCAATAAGTATTCGAATACTTTTCGTGTGGTATTCGAATACTTCATTTATAGCCCTTTATAGCTGTTATAGACCTTCTGCCCAGTAAGTATTTGAATACTTTTCGTGTGGTATTCGAATACTTAATCAGGTATTCGAATACTGCATCAGGTGTTCGAATACTTTATTGACAACAAGAACATTGTTTTGTATTTTGGGCATAACTTGAGTTATACTTGTTGGATTGATATGATCTTGGTCTCGTTGGAAAGAGAAAAGAAAGATATACAACTTTTATGAAAACCACAAGATCCAAATCCATCATATTAGATACGAAAAATTGTATGGAAGGAAGCAGCAAAATTTAAGCAACAAATTTTAAGTTCAAATGTGTTCTAGCTTGCTTCCAACCACTTTTTGTGAAAGATCTTGACTTTATAAATATGTTTTGAAGTTATAAGATATGTCAAGGATCTTTTCCATGGATTTTTCAAATTTCTTTCAAGTATATAAAGATTATGATTATGCAATTTGAAAAACATGTTTACTTTGAGAAAAACTTTGAGCTCATGCAATGCAATCTACCATATACCCTCACATATATTCTAAGTCCTAAAGATATATTCCAAATATGATTTTAGACTTAGCTGTATGTCTTGTGTCTTGTATCTTTTCTTGAACTTGATGCTTTGACTTGTTGGATATGACAATGCCTGACTCTTTGTTGGTTTTGATCATTTTTCACCATGGTTATGATATTGAGCTTCTCTTAGATGTTGTCCATGGTTAGTTGTCTTTGATCTTGGTGTTGCTCTTCTAATTATTCCTTGTTGCTCTTGACTCAATAATCTTGCCACTTTGATATGACATCAATCTTCTTGTGTGGCTACATCATACATCTTCAATATACACATACGGTTGATTTTTTTGCTCTTGATCAAAGCTCTTCTCTTTTTGTTGTTGCCATTTTGTTATCATCAAAACATACCTTATATCTACAAGCAGAAACGACATTATCTTTCTTCAAATTGTTGAGGAAAGAAATGCATTATAGGTGGACCCCGGAATGTGAAACAACGTTCCAAGAAGTAAAAAGACATCTAGCTTCACCATTGGTTCTATCAAAACTAAGACCAGGCGAAATACTAATAATATATTTCTCGGTAGGGGAAACAGCAGTTAGTGCAGCCCTAATCCAAGAAGATATGAAAAAGTCAACAATTGGTCTATTTCACGAGCAGATCTCTCCAAGGAGCTGAGCTTAGATACCAGAAGTTGGAAAGGGTGGCTTTCGATTTGCTGATCTCGGCTAGAAGGCTCAAGGCATAATTCCAAGGTCATAAGGTGGTGGTAAGGAAAAATCATTGTTCACAAACCAGACTTAGCAAGATGAATGAAGAATTAGGCTATTGAGTTGTCTGAAATTGATATTGTTTTTGACGCTAGAAAAGCAATAAAATCCCAGGCTTTAGCTGATTTTATTAGAGAATTTACCTCAGTTCGGGATGAGGACTTGCCAA